CAGTCATCTGACCAACAATGTGTGATGACCTTACGATAGAAGTTGAAGTAATGGCGATAGTAAAGCCACTTTACTAATACAGCCCAATTAAGTTTTACGACCCCCCACTTACAAATCCAAATATCCTTTCAAAATGCGTCAAACAATATTTATAATGCCAGAAGAATTAAATTAACAGGATATTTGCAATTATTCATAAATGGGGTCAAACTAAGGGGTAATTACAGTGCATAATTTTGGAGTAAAGGCAAACTTCAAGGATTTATGCCTATTTTAGAGGGTCAATCAGACTATGACAAAGAACCACACACACACACACACACACACACACACACCAGAAGGCGAGAAGTTGAGGTGGGACACTAGGCCTCAGTGACTGGGTTCCTAACTCTCAATAGTCATGATCCACAATGCTATCCAAGGCAAAGACTTATCAAAACGAAAGTGAGAATTTGATATTATGAGCACTTGCAGGTTTTTTAATCTCCTTTGTAAACTACTAAGGCAACGATATTTGTCGTCGTGTTATTTTTCATAAATGGAGTGCGCGATAGACTTGTCCCCACGTGGTGCACCCCGGGCAATGTATACTCATACGGCAAAAAAAGGATAGAAACTTGCAGTTGACTTCTGATTTCGAAATACCATGACCCTACTGTATGTCATATTCCACCACTCCCACAGTACTCACCTTACCCCTCTCTCTACCTTTGTGTCTGTCTCTCTTGCATCTGTGAACCACTCTTCTTCCTCCCCCCCCTCCCCTCGACTTTTTGTGGCATTGATGCTCCTCCCTACTGTGAAGCCCGAAGTCAACTAAAGGGCTAATGGTAACTATCAAAAAGCCTGCCACTTGATATAAAGCTAATATTACTCTAGGGTCCAAGATTAGCCAAAGCGCTAGAATTATTCAATCAGAAAATAAAATTGAAGAGTGCCGACAAGTTAGGCGATCAAAAACACCCGAAGTGAAGTCCATATGTCTTTCTATAGCCCCCTCCCCTTCCTCGGTCTTCTAGGAAAGCACTTCAAATGAGAGCCTCAGCACTAGACTGAGTATGATTTTCCATAACAGTTAAATGGCAGCAAACAAGATATGCAATCAACTCTATATTACCTGGGAGAAGGAATTCTCGAGTTAGGAGGAGAGTAATCCATCGGAATGCAAAATGCGCGGGTTCGAGGTGGAGACGGTTCAACTTTTGGAGTAGATCGGCATCAAGTTCACCAAGCAGACTTAACATGGTCTCCATCTTGCTGCCTAGAAAGGATGTACAATTTCGGTAGACAGAAAACAAGAATTTCGTGGCATAAATGCGCCAAAAAACGTAAATACATCACGGGAGACAATTCTCGAATCCAGAAATAGTTGAAATCAAGAGCATGCACTTACCAATGCCAAAATCTTGGTCAAAATTGCGATTAAAGACGCTCTGAATTTCCACCATCAGGTTATTGAAACAGAAGAAGGCATCGTGCTCAGCGAAACCTGCAAAGCGGACAAGTGAATACCATGTTTCAGTCTTTCAACTCGGTATTTGGTGGGGAGGAAGGGGGAGGGGGGGGGGGAAGTATTTTGAAAGTGCCTACTTATTAGATTTGACGATCGTTTTAAAATGGTCATAGATCATAAGCTTTGTCCTCCAACATGATTGTGGGCGTTATGTGATGCCAGATTTCATAACTATAGCTAGTTAGCCACAGCATGCACGTCTTCTTTCTGAATTGGCAACCCGCTGTTGGCGGCACTTCTATACTAGCTACTACTACTACTACTACTGCAGCACCTGGAGTGGGTAGTATTCAACAATCGCAATCCTATTTCACCTCCAAATCCCACCTGCATACATGCGAACGAAAGTTAACACTATTCATGCAGTGGTTCCCTTGGAAATTAGCACTCTTTTTCTCGTCAATGCGACCAAATGTTGAGGTATAATAAAATGCCAAGGGAAATGTTGCTCATTCACAACTTCGGTCCTTTTAATCTTAAAATTATCTTGATGATTTAGCCAGAATTTGGTTTACCAAATTTATCTCATGGTTAACACACCTTCAAATAGAGAGGACATAAACATATATAAACATCAATTAGTATGCATAACTGCTTTTAATCAAGAACTGGTTGTTTATCCAAGGAAAAGGTGGCTAAATTGTACAAAGACCTATGTTTCCACGATTTGTTATGAGAGTAGCGTTAGTAGACCAACAAATAGCCTTCTCTGTCTCTTGAAAATAAAAAGGACCCTTTCCCTCACAAATACTAACGAAAAAGACATTGCGTTAACTACCAAAACTTAAATCTTATTTCTGTACGGTGAAGGCGCAGCGAATAGAGTGATCGTCTGACTAAGGCTGACAAATAAAAAAATGGGGTGACAGAATTGCGTTATCAAAACATGGAGGCACTAAGACGTTAATTTCAACTCAACGAGTGCTTCAATAAAAAAATTTGTCAAAATGAAACCGTGAGCTATGTTGCATCACGAAGATAAGAGCACTTCGAGACACCAACAAGAATAAACGAAAAATGATTATTTTGATAGGCAGATTCAACAATGTTCTAAGCCTGAAACTATTGTAGATATTTAATTCCGAGCATATAATGAAAAATAAACTAAATTGAATTATGGAGTGAGAAAATTTTAAAACCCATCTTTCAGAATAGACTTAAAGTATTATCTCGAAAAAGATCTGTAACTCTGCTTGGAAACTCACGTCTCTCATTTGGATCAGGATTGTTCGCGAAAACGTAGTAAATGGGGGCAGCTATTTCATTCATCCCCTGCACGTAGGAAGAAGCACGATTCATTTTATATGACGTGAAAAGTATTCGCTGGACAACCTCCCAATGAAATTCGGCATTTGGATCGAGAGCTCCATTCGATATGGAATGCTTGCCATCTCGAATTTCTTCGTCATCACAAGCAGCACGAAGTAAAGAAGTGCCACAATGGTCATCAATAGAATTTACAAGCCTAATGGCACCTAGGGTATTTGTCGCAACGGAATGGGACTAGTATAAAATCTATCAGAAAATAAAGAAGAAAGCTTACCCGAGTCAGCTCTGTTTCAATTCGATTTCGCAAGTCTGATATTTTGACACCCGATTCGAAGATCTTATCACACGGATATTGAGTAGGACGTCGAAAAAAATCAAGCTCAGGATATAGGCGACGGCAGTCTTTATTAATCTGGAGCAGGACGATGTTGTCGTCAAAGTATTCTCGCCAATAGCTACTAGGGTCACTGCTCAGGGGCTACAATTGCAAAATAAAATGAAATTGATGTCCTACATGATCGGAAGACTGATTCGATTTTGATTTTTTTGAGATAAATTCCGGTAAAAATCCTTCATACTCTTTCCGAGCTTTTGAAAGGGTTGTATTCCAGAGGGATTTTTCAGTTGGAAGATAATTTAATAGGATCTTCCAAGATATCGAACGAAAATCACCGCTTTCTGGACAACCGGATAAACATTCCTTTCTTAGTAAATTTAGGTCAATTTTCTGCGTATCTAAAAGGTCCTGAAATATCTTTGACCTAAGTTTGTAAAAGATTAAAAATTCAACAACCTTGACTCTCTCATAATCGGCTATAGTACTAATACTTTTAACAAAGCATTAAAACCGAATAGGGTTCCTATTCCATCAATTAAATATTCAATTTATTGAAAAATGGTTTTATAAAATCTTTTTTATTTTAAAATTTACTTTTTTGTAAAAATAGAATGAGGATAAAAACCAAGCTCATTTTGATATAATATCAAAGTAATTTATTTTATTTTTAATTAAGTTAAACGGGTTTTTCAAGACCCAAATTCTAGTTATTTTCAAGCATTATCTTGTTTTGGTTCCTACTCTCGGTCATCGTCATGTATATTTAGTTCGGTGCATATTCAATATCAGGGATGTATAAATTAGACCTGCCTTTAGACAAAAAAGAACATGCTGCAATTGAAAGACGAAGACTTTTTGAGAAACAGAGAATGGCTAGGATATTCAATGAGAAAATTAGACGTATTGGAGTAATATTTTTTGAAAAATATTTAAAAATATTTCCAAAATGAGTATTCGCATTATAAATATTGCTCTTGTGAGGTTAAAAAACGAGATTATTGTCTGCGAATTTTATAAATTATGCAATATTGTACCATTAAAATTATATCGATTGTAATTTGCAGGTTGATGAACGCGCAATAGCTCAGCAAGTGAAAGAAAAATTAGAACGTGAAGAAAGTGAAAGGCTTAGAGAACTTGCCTTTGGTATCTATCGCCTAGTTAAATTATCATTTAAAGTTTGGATGGATTTAAATAGAGATCGTTATTTTTTAAGCTAAGGAAGCAGAACGGAATGATAAGTTGGCTTTGCTAATGGAGAAGCGACAAACTGAAGAGCATCGGATGTTAAATAGAGCTATAAATGAATATCGGCTTCAGCATCAAAAGCCAACATCTCGACGTGAATTCGATCTCAACGATCCGGATGCTTTAAAGAAGGAGCTGCCAGCTCGAATTTCAGATGACGATTCTCGTTGTGGCGCCTCGTCTTTACAAAAATTCGTTGGTGAGGATCTGACTAAAAAGGCGAGAGATAAACTTCAACAACAGCAGATGAGTGCGTGGTTCGATAAGCAAATTGAGGAACATAATAGGGCTGATGCTTCTAGGAAATACGATGAAAAGTGAGCTTAATTTTGAAATTTCTGAAATTCTATTTATCTTCAAACCACTTGCTTATAACATCGGATAGTACACAATAAGTCCCTCCTAGAATTACAACTAGCTTCAGATAAGTATATTTATCCCCTATAGAAGTCCTCTAGAACACTTCGGCCACAAATTGGCCAGACCAGTGTCCAAATTAGTATGATTATAATGCTCGAGGAGTTAGTTGAGAGCGCAATTATCACTTTGTGGCACGAATATTGATCGCCGTTTAGTTAAAAAGGACTTCACATGTTAGGATATTCTTAGAACGACAACACTTTCCAGAATATTCCACCCAGATCGATCAATGGCTGTCAAATTTAACATTGCTCTCCACTCTTCAGATCTGGAAAAAGCTATTAAATCCCTTAAGTTTGGGGAAAACAATAATTTTGAGATTAAAATATCTTTTATACTGTTTTCTGCCGGTATTTACCAAAAATTGTTAGTAGATATTAGCATTCTAACCTTTCGATCGAAAACGAGACAGATAATTTGTGAGCTTAGCCGAACTATGCCAAATATTCCATCACAGAATGAATATTTTGTCCAAAGGTTTACAAAATACGATAAATTTTTCCAATATTTTTTTCCAAATGGCAGGCGTTTTGATGTTAATCATTAGCCCTTTAGTTGACTTCGGGCTTCACAGTGGGAACCAACATCAAAGTGAGAAAAATTCGAAAGGGGGGACAGAATAGTGACTGACAAATGTAAAAAAAGGCAGATAGACACAAAAGTGGAGAAAAAATTAAGATGAGTACTGTGGAAGTGGTCGAATATGACATTCACTGGAGTCATGATAGTTTGGAGTGAGAAGTCAACTTCAAGTTTATGGACTTTTGCCGTATGAATATACGTTGCCCAGAGTGCACCACGTGGAGGTAGGTCTATCGCGCACCCCACTTTTCCGATATAAGTAGACCAATAGTGGGGCAGGTTACGAAAGGATGAATGGAAGGAGTTCGTGGAGGAATTCGGAACTGGAAGAGTCTCTGTGGGTTGAACACTGGTAGTGAATTGATTGGTTTTGCGTCAACTACCCTTCAAATAAACTATCAATAAATTGGTATCTTCCGTCAATTGAATAGCAAATTTGAGTCAATGTTTCTGCAAAAATTAGTCATTTCGTACTTTACCCTATTGTCTACATTTAGATTTATTTGCATTGAACTTATTTAATATTTGCCTAAGTGTTAGTTAACAACGATCTTGTTCTCTTAATTAATTAAATTTGTGTTCATATGTGTTTTTTTCGAACCTAAAGATAGTTAAAATATCCCCAAATAAAACAAAATGACGCGAAATCAAATATTTTCCTAGCGTGTACACATTTCGCTAAAAATATATTTATTTTAAATTGAAAGGTATCACAGCTGGAGTAGAGGAGATTAATTATAAAATTGATTATTTTATAGACAAGAAAGCGCTTATTTGGTCAACTGCTATTGCTGTTGAATAACCAACACCTAAACATTAGAAAATGGGGAGCTGTTAACCTTAAACACTTGATATGATTTGGACAAGTAACCCACTGAATGAAAACGTACCAATTAGATCAGAGGAACATTACTAATTGTAAAATAATCAAGCGAATCAAGAAGTAGAAAGTAGGTAGTGTCAAGGTTATTTGAGATAAGTCTTTTCGAAAATGCGAGAATGAGAGTTAACGATCAATGTGTCACTAACTGACTGCGACCAACTTCAGGATCAGTACATGCTTAATGAAATAAAAGCTAAATTTTCCTAAGCACTGTATCTATTTCTAATAATATTTTTGTTGCACTTCTATCCATTGGTGTCGAATTGACTTCATTAAACTGTGGGCTTACTTCTAGTTTGGAAGCCATCTATAGACGCGAAATTGAAGCTCGAACAATGGCGTTAGCGCAAGCGGAAGCAAATTGTCGTCGAGCGGTGCAATGCGCCGTACGACGTTACAATGAGGCCATGGCTGCTGAACGCGAACAGAAAGAACGCGAAGAGAGGAGACTTGAGGAAGAAACAGGCATGCAGGAGATTTTAAACGCCATCAACTCCGATTTTCTTAATGAAAATCCTGCCCAGGCTCGCTCTGCTCTTGGACCAAATCGCGTTTGCCCTGATAGATATAAGGGTTTCTCGCCTGAGAAATTGGCTGAAATACGAGCTGCTCAGTGCAGTCAAATACAGGAGAAAGCTGTGAGTATATATATTTTTTTCTCTGCGATTAACGAGCTTCATTTGTTTATTATATATATCAAATGGCAGGCATTTTGATTATTTCATTAGCCCTTTAGGTGACTTCAGGCCTCACAGAGAAGAAATTATCAAAGTGAAAAAAATTCAAAAGAGGGGGGAGGGGGAACAGAAGAGTGTTTCAAAGGTGTAAAAGAGACAGACACAAAGGTAGAAAAAAGGTGAGGTGAGTACTGTGAAAGTAGTCGAATATGGCATACAGTGGGATCGTGGTAGTTTGAAGTCAGAAGTCAACTGCCGGTTTGATAGACTTTTTTGCCGTATGAGTATACGTTGCCCAGGGTGCACCACGTGGAGGTAAGTCTATCGCACGCCCCACGAGCTTCATATTTGTATATATTTGTCTTTATCTGTCACCAACTTACGAGAAGCCATATTTTAAAATAAATTAGACATTATTGGCTTTGAATAAAGAAATAAATTATATGATCAATTTGTATTATCAGGAGATCCCTTGCCTACTAAGTCAAATTTTCTTTTTATCTCACTAATCCAATATCTTGAAAAGTAACCAGATCCGTCACCGAAAATTTTCATTCTTAAATGAAGCTTCGCAGTAGGTACACTAAATCATCGTTTTTATGTGGTCATATTTTTGTTGAATTGCCAAATTATGTGGCTCTTTAGTCTTAATCTAAATTTCCTGTATATACCACATTTTTTCTCAATTCCTTTGCATTTCTCTGTCAAAAATGAATAAGTATATTTGAATTCTATGTATCTACAAGTGATAATCTGCTGCTTAGTGTGTTTTTTCTAACTTTGAAAAACGGTATTTGATAACCATGTACTTGGGAGGGAGAGGTGGGATTAGTAAAGGATAGTTATCAAAGTAAGATAGTGAACTACTTTGAAAAAATTTGAGTTAAAAAATTCCCTTGTCAAGCGAGTGTGTGTTAACTTTTTATTTTTTTCCATATCTTGCTTATTTATTTACATTTCACATTTCTGGTTTGGTAGCACAATTACGACGTCAAATTTAATGAAGGGAGACTATAAATATTGTATCATTCATAAAAATTTAACACCTTGAATAACGGCTACCAAGACTAGCTTAACTAATGTAGATTTGGGTTATAGGAAAATTAGTAGCTCCGATAATGCCGCTGTATCCGTTTGGATATTAGTGGAATGCCACCAAATTTATTGGGAAAAAAACATATTAAGGTTCAACTATAACCGATCCTTCGATGTCTCCTAATAGCCATTTCCACTCATAAATGTACTTATGATTGCACGGGAGTATGAATACTGTGGGCAGAATCTATTATATCGACAGTAACTTGTTTAGTAACTTTTATTGCAAATAGCACATATTAAAAGGTTGAAGATATGTTAGTGGCTTGAAATGCTTTCTTTAATGATTCTAGGCCAGAGAAGAAGAAGAGAAGAAGCTGAACAATCTGCATGATGAACAGCTCATTAAATCAAGCAAAAGGTATTTGCTTATTGAAAAGGAATACGAAAGAATACTCCGTGAAAGACGTAGACAGATTCAACAAGAAAATATGCTGCTTGCAGAGGATCAGAAGACTTTCCAAAAATATCTCAATGAAGAGGTAATATCAAAATATATGGCCATATTTACGCGATTACTTTAATAAAGTTTCATTTGCGCATTTATTTTTTAGGTGTATAAATATCAACCCACGTCGGAATTTTTTACACAATTCAATACCACCTCGCGGTAGGAATCCAAAGTCTAGAAATATTAAATCAACATGCTGAAATGTACCAGCTGAATAGGAAGAGATAACTTATATCAATGGTAATAAGCGTCAACTAAGAGATGTTCTATTATATAATTTTTGGTTTTCGATAAATAATCGAAAGAGAATTAGTTACGAGTAAATGAAGAAATGCTCAATTAAATAATTATGCGTAGTATTATCAGAAATTATATGCAAATTGAAAGGTTGGGCGGAAGGAGGATAAAGATGAGAAGTCTTTGGATGTTACATTTGAGATTTCATGATATCGAATAGGTTTTGGGCAGTATCAATTGACGAAGGTGCCATTATTTCACAGTAAATACATAAGAACGGTTTACTACTACACAAGCTGATATTCAAAGTAAGAAGATGAAAATGCTGATTCTCACTGATAAGAGGAATATCTTCGTGAGTTTAATTCGATCATTGTATAGGAATTGGTAACAATTTAGATCAAGAAAATTGTGGTCAATGTTTTTTAAACAAAGATTAAAATAAAATGCCAAGCACCATGGTCATTTCGTCCTGGAAAAATATTTAAAAATGGCATTGATAGTAAGCCGTTTCACCTTGATTACATTTACTTAGTAGATAAACACTGCTATAGAGTTTAGATGAATCTCAATTTTCAAACCATAAAGTCACAAACAGCTACAACTGTAGAATGTAAAAATAATAGTAGAGTTAACTAATTAAATAACTCAACACGAATTAAATATATCCAAAAATAAACCTCTTTGCATTAATGTTTATTATGGATGTAATTTTTGTGGAATACAGATTATAAATATTTGAATTGTTTAAAAAGTTTTAGTAGTCATATTAATGATTAATACTGAGCACGATTAAATATTTTGCTAACTAATTTTATGATGATGACTAAAATGAGGGTGATATCAATAGAAATTTTTCTATGCGATTTAATGCTCTTGTGTTTAAGAATAGAATATTATTCTTACTGATATTCAGAGACAACTATCAAAAGAAAATGTTTGTATGTTACTGGAAAATTTGATTAAAATTGGTTTCCACAAGACCTAAGCGATAGAGTAATTACAAGATTGAGATGTGTTTTAGTTCGCTTCAGGCCTTGGCATTTATACAATATTTTACCTCGTGATGCAGGCCCCATCCAAGATACCATTTGATGGTTTTCCATTAATTGAATATTTTCCAAAACCTTTTACGTCACTGGCAAGAAATAAAAAAGGACTTATTGCCGCTTCTCGAATCGATGGTTCTATAGACATATATGATGCCAATGAAGGTTTCTTCGTTATTCACCACATTCCATCCTGGATTTTAACATCAATTGAGGCAGTTTGTTGGATTGACGATCGATTGTTTGCAACCGGTGGGGAAGGCCGTGTTTACGAACTTCAATTATATTCTCCTCGCCCGAAAGCGAGTGTTTTGTTGCCTGGTGGCGTGCCTGCACGCTGCTTAGTACCCGGTGAGGGTATTTTGGTTTCTGGAAATGATGGAGGCTACATTAATGTTATTGACGTTTCTGATGATCAATTAGACCTAAAGTCTTGCCTTGCAAGCCTCGACGGTTTGTTACGTTTCGTTATAATATCGAATCTCTTTTAGACAAAATTGTAGCCCTAGCTCTTGATGACAAAAATAGAAAAATTGTTGCTGCCAGTGACGCTAAGGGTAGAGTCTATATTTTCAGTTTGGAAAATGGTTCAACTCTTTCAACTTATTTTGTTGGTGACGAATACGCAATTGCCCCCACTATTGTTTGGTCACTTCTGTTTGTGGGGTTTGTTGAGTTCCTACCGTTTATTCTTGTTAATAATTTGTCTTATTTGTTTACTAAATTTTATATTTTACTTTCTTGTTTAGAAATTCCCTATTTTCGGGTGACAGTAAAGGAAATGTTAGCGTATGGGATGTTGACATTGGTGTTATGGCATCAACTTTCAAAACCCATACTGTAGATGTTCTTGCTCTTGCTGCTAGCTCAGATCAGAGTACTGTTTTCGCTACTGGTGTTGATCCTACCATTCGTCGCTTCGATTTATGCATCACTGAACGTAACTGTAAGTTTGTCTCTTCTCAAAACTAATTTATATTGCCACTAAGCTTTTGACACAGTTATTTGGGTTTTGACCTCTTGGTTGAAGTTTTGTGCATTACATGAATGTGATTAAATTACTGATTTGTCTCCCTTGTTTTTAATTTGCATGGCAAGTTTACTTTAACTTCAGCTAATTTGTTGATGTTAATAGTGATAGAATAATGGCAATCGTCGCCGACGATTCGGGCTCTAGTCAGATTGACAGTTATTTTAAAGCCCCCCCCCCATGTCTTTCATGAAATCTCTGCTTTTTGTAAGATAGTAGATTTCATCGAACTCAATGCAAAGTTCCACTGAACTTATTGTCTCTCCTTTCTCATATATTACGGAATTTCTAATAAACGATAGTTAATCTAATCTCAGCAGCACTAGTAGTTGTACAAACGCGCTTTGCTCATTTCTAGTTGGTTTCTCTTAGCCTTACCGTTCTAGTTTGAGAGAACCACCTTGAGATACCACTTGAACAGATTAAATGCTCTATGTGTGTAGAACAATATCGAGGCAATGATTTGTCAACTGAATCATTGATCTTTTGGTAACAAATATTCCGCCTGTAAAGCTACTTTAAAACTCTAAAGATTGGTCTTCATGTCAAGCGTTTTCCTCGAGTTAGGCAGGAAAAGAGCTGTACTTATTTTAGAAGATCAGAAGTTGGGGAAGAATTATGGAAGCGAGAATGGGGGTTTAGAATGGCTTTACTTCCCATGTTTGGAAGATGATTGACCAGTTTGGATAGCACAATGTGTTATGTCAACAAGTCTTTTTACTCAGATTGCTGCTATAAGAATATTTGTTAAAGACATCCTAAAGATTAGGTGTTTAGTTATAAAGGTGTAATAAATAGGAAGGGAACTTATAAGCATTTATTTATATCAAATGGCAGGTCCTTTGTTAGCTATCATTATCTCTTTGGCTGATTTCGAGCTTCAAAGAAGGGACATCGAAATGCTAGCCTCACTTATTGTATATCGAGTTCTGGAGGTGCGTGCTCCCATTTGTCCTAGAGAGGTAACCCACTTAATATTTCAGCTTTTTCAGTAACAACATCACCTGGTACTCTGTATTTAACTTCTTTACCAAT